AATTTAACGGTTAAATTAACAAAATTTATATTTAACTAAAATTATTAAATAATATAATATAATTAATAAAAATTATATCATATAATTTTGAAATCGTAATATAAAATTTTTATTTAATGGTTAAATTAATAAAATTTATATACAACATAATAATTAATAAAAATTATATCATATACTTTTAAAACCTCATCTCTCACCCTCTTTTATTTATATATATATATATATATATATATATATGTATATATATATATATATTTATTGAGTGTCCAAATTTTTTTCAATTACTTTTTCACACAATCAAATATGAAACAAAGTTAATATCTAGCACAATTAATACATCATATACTTATCTTTGACCCAAAAATAGTACCCAGCAGGCAGAGTACAGTTTTGTCTTTTCATAATAAATAATAGATTTTTGCCTTTTTCTTTGAATCAATAATATTATTTAGTCGATATATTTGAGGGTTAATTCTTTTTTAGATACACAAAATAGTTTTTGTGTTTTAATATATTTTCTTATGTATAACTAGAAAATATGTATAATATTTTTAACATACTGATTCTTTATATGTATAATTAGAAAAATCGAATCACGTTTTTTAAAAAACATTATTCAGCGGTTGGTATATAATTTTGGTTTTTTAGAGCATGTGTTTGATGCATGGATAATGGATTAGTACGGAATGAACTTTACCCCTACAAAATCATTATGCTTCTCTTTCCTTTCCTCGTTGCTGATATTGATACGAACAGTGTCAGAGTTGGGGTTTTCCTTATTGTTCTCAACTCACCGACTAATGGGATAAGGATGGAAATCGATAACAGTGTTTACAGCCTTCGTCCAGCTGTATGCAATCATGTCCTCACCTCAACAACTTGGTTTTCGATGCATTCAACCAAGTTGGACTAATTTCACACAATAGTACAAAAACTAGTTGAAAACCCATCAACTTGCATCCCATTTTGGAGTAAATCGGAGAAAAGACTATAAAGAACTCATAGATGTGATAAAACTTAGTATTTGCTAAGTTATGGTAATACATGTTAATATTTAATGTATATTAATGATGTGAAACTTTAATTTTTGACTAAAAAATAATATTTATGTTGCTGTCTGTAATTTCATCTTATATATGATTATTATAGAAAATGTAGAGATAAAGAGAAAAAATGTGATGAAAGTTATTTTAAAGGTGAGATATAGATAAAGTTAATTAAAGTAGTTTATACATGCTCTGGTCCTCTGCAGCAAAATTTGGGCAAGCGTTTTTGGCATCTTGGATAAGTATATGTTGCTGAATGCAGAAGAATAAAATTTGTTTAGCAAATCTAGAAGAAAAACATATTGACAAACCAACTATATAAAATGTGAGACGGTGAAAGTATATGTGCTCTAACATAAAAGCAGTAATAAGAAACTTATTTGAACAAAATACTGAAAGTGAAACGCTAAATTTTCTTATACTATCATCTTAATTAATAATTCTCATTATTTTATACAGAAAAATTAAATAAATACACTCAATATGTTAAAGTATCTCAGAAGATAGGCTTACAAAAAGCCACACATTGGGCCATTTTGGTAATTTTAATTTGCAAGATATTATTTATTTATGAGTACCTTTTGTGGCTATATAAATGCTGGTACGTTGAGTGAACAAGTGACTAACTCAGTTAGAATTCAAACTCTAGTATTTGCATGCACTGTTCCTGCTTCAATGGCATTACGCAAGCTTTTCGTGATGGGGGTATTGCTGCTGGTTTGCCTAGCTAAGGTACACATATTATATTTCTCATATTCAACAACTCAACTTCTCTTTATTAAGGTTTAGTTTGTGTTGAAGATGAGAGTGACCATTTTCTATTTTTTTCTCTTCTTCTTTTTGTTGTATTTTTGCCATACAGGTTTCATCTGATGTTGACATAGAAAAGGAAGAACATGAGGAACTTCACTATCCTGATGACCCGGTATGTTTTTGTTTTTGTTGTTGTTTCTTGGCAAAATGTTACTTAAATTTTTGTGATTTTCTGAAAGTGCTTGGTATAACCATATATAGTATATAATAAATAATTTCCTCTTCAGCTTATTGTGAGAGACGGGAACAGAAGGCTAATGCAAGACATAGGTAAGCAAAAGAGAAACAAATTTTGATACTCTACCAGGTTGTTTTTGGTCTCATGTTTCTATTATTTTTCATTCTCACCAATGTATATAATTGATATGTAGATTGTGGAGAATTGTGCAAGTCAAGGTGCAGTGCGCATTCTCGACCAAACGTGTGCCATAGGGCTTGTGGCACGTGCTGTGTGAGATGCAAGTGTGTCCCACCTGGTACCTCAGGCAACAGGGAACTCTGTGGGGCTTGCTATACGGATATGACGACCCATGGCAACAGGACTAAGTGCCCTTAGACCCAGTAAAAGCCCATAGAAGGTGAGCCCAATCAATTGGGCCCACCTTCACGCACCGGATCGAATCACCAAGCAAGCAACTAGTGTAGTTTTTAGTAAATGGGTGTAGGTAACATGTGTTATGTACACTCTTGTATTTATGGATATGTGATCTTAAGACAGTGTTCTAGTTTTTACCTTTTTAATGGTATGGTACGGTTTCATCCAAGTATATAAACTTTGCGCTTGGATTGCTTAATATATGTATAAAGCATCGCATTCCTTTCTAATTCGGGCTTCGTTCATCATCTATTCTTATAGATCCTTAGAAGTAGTAATATTGTTGTAGATAAACATGGAGTGTTTTGTTTTTTACTTTGATTTTTACGTATGAATTTTATCATGTGCTTATTTATGATTGAATAATTGATCATGTAAAAACTCGTTATTACCTAATTTTTACGGACAAAATAATAATAATGTGATTTTTGCTATAGGCTCGAGTTTTTTTTTCTTTCTTTTTTACACCGACGTAACAAGTTTTGCTTTAGATTAATGACTTAATTAAAGGGAAGTAAAATCTGGTCAAAATTTATTTTTGTTAAGTATCCGATTCGAACACTATTTAAAGGATTTGATTTTGAATTGAAAACATAAATCAATTATGTCCAATTCCGGCACAACTCCTTGGTTCTATAGGCCCGAGTTTAAGCCCAGTTGGCAATTTCCATTCGGTCCCATCTAAAACCTGATTTTGGATAGTGTTGGGCTATCTTTGATTTAAAACAGCCCAATTATTGTTGAGGCATCCAACGTTTGGTTTGAAGCTCAAACACTGAGCATACAAAAGTCAAATTAGTTCTAGAAAGTGTTTTTCCCAAAGTTATGAAATGGTCCCGGTTGGATTTTGGAGTTTTGGTTAAACTTAAATTTAAATTATTTATATTAAATTGAGTCGGATTAGTTTCGATATTGAAAAATGTTGTCAATTTGAATTAAAAATTCAACATGAATAAAGATCACGTTTGGTTTTAGGTCATGAGGTTTTATAATTAATAAAATATTAAAATTAGATTATCATATATTTTCTCAGTTTTTTTTCATTTATTGTTTATTTTTATGTAAGTTTTTAATTTATTTTAATGTAAAAATGAAACTATTTTATTTACTATTTAATTTTTATAATTATAATTTTATGCATGACAATAATTTCTTTATTCAAAATATAATAAAAATTACATGTGAAGATATTGAATATCTAAATTTAAAAGTAACGAAAAAAGTATATTGATTTGAATTGTAAAAAAATAAAAAATATGAAACCATCAAATAAATTTGAAGTGAAAAATAATCGAAATATCTCAAACAATTAACTTATGACATAATGCTCAACATTTTTGAAAATTAACACATGTAGAGTTTTCTTGTAATTTATCCTTTTATTTTAAATTCTTTGTATGCTTTCTTCACATGTTTTAATTTGAAGTCAACATCAACGTGCAAAATAATGACAGTAATGAGACAACTCCTCCCCTTAAGAGACATGAAAAATGAATATGCTGCAAGAAATACCTCATACCTCATGCAAACATTTCATGCACTACTTTCTTCCTTTTATCATGTTTAGATTTTGCTTCCTCTAAGACATCTCAATATTTGTTGATCATATAAATATAATTTTATTGCTATAATGTTTATATATAATTTCATTTTTTTCATGTAGTAATTTTAATTTATTCATTTTATAATTAAGTAAAATGCGAATAACATATGCAAACCCGAGTATAAAGCTACCTAGATAGTAGGAATTAAATTTGTTACTTCAATGAATGGGTCATGAATAGTTTTTTTTTTCACAAAAAATATGAGAATAAATACTATTATATCTTATCTAAACCTATCCATTGTAATCCATATTCATATTAATTTCATTTGTATTATGTAAGAAAGATTCTACATGGTATGGATATAAGAGGCAATAAAAACATTTTTTTTCACAAAAATATGGGAATAAATACTATTATGTCTTATCTAGACCTTGTAATCCATATTCACATTAATTTCGTTTGTATTATGCAAGAAAGATTTTACAATGCTATGGATATAAGAGGCAATAAAAACTATGAAATGCAAAATGCAAAATGCAAATAACAATTGGCGTAAATTGTTAATTTAACTAATAATTTTGAGTTTAAATTTATATATATATAATTACATTAAATATTTAGAAAAGAAATTTTATCTTTTATAAATTCCACTTGACTCATACAAAATTATCTTTTATTTATTTATGTGGTACTATAGTATTGATGAAAATATCTTTAATTACATTAAGATTTGGGACTTTGAGATTTGAGGGTCAACTACAATATATTTAAGTGATACAAATTACAATGCCGCCTAGTCTTCCTAAAAGTCACTAAAACATACGTAGTCATGTGAGCAAGACCCATTGGGAAGAGTACTTTATTTTAACATTTTTCATGTTTATTTTACAATTCCTATTGTAAATTACCCCTCACCACAGTGTATGAACACGAGAATCATGTCTTTTATATTCATACATACTTTTGTGAGGCTGTTCCGTTTTTCTTTTTCTTTTTTCATGTGAAAGAGGTAACTTCCTTTGGTGTTTGCACCAACAAATGTTAAGGCATGGTTATGTGAAAAAAAGGTAATGAAAGAGTATCTATGTAGGACTATATACAACGAAGAGTTCAAGGAAAAATAATTATAATTAGAATGTAACAATAAATGTCTTTTACTATGTCATCTTATTATAATATCATAAAAAACTAATAATTTGTGAAATCGTCTATATATAACTTTGATTGAAATTGATATTCTTAAGTAAAGTTTCGATTTGGGTGTAATATTTTGGTTCAAACCTTATAAATTAAAAAAGAAATAGTTAAGAGAAATTTTTTTATTAAAAATGACCGACCAAATTCTCTGACAGAGATTGATCATTTACAGAAAAAATCATTTCATACTTTATATCAATCGCATTAATAAAAAAGAAAACTGCAAATATCATTTTAGTAAAGTGAAAAATGTATTGGAGGAATGCATTTAGGACCGTACAGTAATAGGAGATAGTATTGTTAATGGGGGCATGAAGTTCACGTTAGCGTGGACTCTTATTTTGTTTGTTTTAAACTTTTGTGGTTGTGGGTCCAATAAACACCGGCCCATAACCCAATGTGACGTCCATCGGCCTATCTTTTTTACTAGCCACTTAAGCAACACATCGCGTGTTTTTTACGTGTTAATAGTATAATATTGACTTATGACTCTATTTAATAATTAAGCTTCATTATTCTAAAGTTAAACAAGTAAATTTATACAGTAGGAAAGAAAAAAAAGTATACAAAGAGAGGAAAACGATGAATCATTTATTACTGAATCTTTAATTTTTTATTTTTCTTATTATTTTATACATTTTCTTTTTCAATTTAAACTAAATATTCAGTACATAACCGGCCAAAGCAAAGACAAATAATACCTAAGCCAACCATTTTTATGTCCAGAAAAATAATATTGTTTAAGAAATAATAATATTAAATTAATGATATTTAACATAAAAGTATATCATTATGCATGAGGTCGACTTAATGATGAAAATTGAAATGTATGTAAAAAATATTAAATTCAAATTTTGTTATTGTTATTATAATTTTTACATATTAAAAAAATATTTATATAATATTATTTGAATAAATGGACATTTGAGTCTTCGAATTTCGCATACATGTTGTTATATTAATATATAAAGAATAAAAATAACAATAAATAGTAAAGTTAGTAACTTACTTAACATTTTAGTGACTTATCGATATTTTCTTAATTTCAGAAATTAATATAATAACTCTTATCACTTAATTTCAAAAAACGAAAATGACTATTTGTTCAATATTATTATTTATTCATATTAGTAGGTTCAAATTAAGAAAAATATTTTTAAAATTAAAATATATTAATAAAATGTTATTTGCATTTGAATATATCTCAAACAAAAAAGATTTTGAATGACTTAATTATTTTATTAATTAAAAAGTATTTAATTTCTGAACTTTTTATACCAAAATTACATAATAACTAGTTATACACCACAAAGAGTAAGGAAAATAAATTTTAAATAAATTTTTTATAAATATATTCCTTTAATTACGTCGGGGTGATCTAAGAATAATAACTGTAAACATTTACTAATTTGTCTCCTCTCACTTCATATTCTATCCCATTATCATATTGTTATTTTACCCCTCTAATTCTTACCTTTTTCTTAAATATATACTCCAAATTGCAATGAAACTTATCTAAGAATCTGAGAATTTAACCTTTGTTATTATTTTTCGACGTCGCTGAAGTTTCAAACCACTTGAGATGACGTCGCTAAATATAGAAATGTGATATAACTTGCAAGAGTAATTTAAACTTCTATAGAGTTATTAGAGTGAAAATTTAAAATTCTTGAAATAGATATTAGATATTATTCAGAATGCGTAAAGACGAAAAAAAGAGTTAAAGAAACTTCCGTAGTTTAAGGGATGTGCTCAAATAATAGCTGTCCTATGTGCATGTGAATGGTCCATAATCTATCTTGCATGAATGTTCTTAAAGATTGCGAATTCTCTAAGGAACTGCGGTCCTAGTTTATTGATCATGGAAGATGGACCATTTTGGGACTTACCTATTATATGGCATAGTTTTTTCTAGATTATCCAATAGATCAAGGAACTATTAGGTTTTCCTTGGGACCAGCTTGTCTTAGTTCACTCACACATATCATGAAGCCAATAAGAGTGCAAATTATCAATTAAGTTAATTGGATCATCTTGTTCATAGTGCACCCTTTGAGGTATCAGGTCTCATAGTTGGATTTTCCTCCTACAGTCTCTCATTCCCATTCTAAAAGATGATTGTATTAACTATTAAGGAAGCTTTGCCTCACGTTATTCTTCCTTAGTGTTTCTTTGTTCTCTTGGGTCTCTAAACCTCCTTCTTCTTGTTGTTGTTTTTTTTCCCTTCAAAACTTGGTCCTGGATTAATTAGATTTAGGCTAGATAAGTCGAGTCATCGATCATTTTTTTGTTGAGTCTTGATGACCCCTAATGACAAAACAGCATTCTCCAGATCGGAGTTGGTTGTTTGCTTAAAAACAGATCCGATAACAATGTCTGGTTTTAGTTAACATTTTCAAACTGATATTATAAAACAAAAATGAATTCAAAGTAAAATCATTTAGAAATAACGATTAAACATATATATCTTGCTTTACTGTTTAAAAATTACGGCAATGATAATGTAAT